TTCTTTACACCTCCTCTGACCATCAGACTCTTCTCATTAAAATTAGTCTTTCACAGAGTGCAAGACCTGACAGACTACCTCATTTTTTCTGTCTTGATATCATGAATGAGAAGATCTTTAATCAGACACTGAAGATCTATAAGTCAAAACTAAACAAACTATATGATATCTCAGAGTATCTCAATATAGATCAGCTGAATGCTTTGACTAAAGATATCACAGATGCACTAATAGCTTCTCTGAAAAGTTTCATCAAGAAGAGCATCAGACAAGACACAGATCAGTCATGATGAAATGAGAACTGTCAGAAAGCAGTGATAATACTATATCAGACACAGCATCTAGACTCTAGTTTTTTATGAGAAGCAAAAAGCAATGTAGTCAGAATCACTAGAAAAGTCAAGAGAGAATACTGATGAGACAAGATAGCAGAGACCTCAATGAAGAAAGATATCTTTAAGATGATTAAATGAGCTCATTCAACTGGCTTCTTTCATTTCTTCTCTCTTGTAGATGAAGAGACTGAGCTAATACAGACAATTTCTAGAAAGAAAAGAGATCTTCTGCAACAGATGCTCTTACAGAAGACTGTAAGTAGAGAGAATATTTCAGTTAGCTGATTCAACTCATCATCTGTCAAATTATCATTTTCTGTTATCTCAGCACATGAGATACAAAGTTCTCTGCTGAACACAGATAATATCACTTCAGAAACTGATGAAGTGTCAACAGAGATGCTATAAAAGACATGATCACATATTAAGATATCAGTGAAAAGACTGTTCAGAGTCTGTTTTAAAGTTGACTGACACTCAATCTTCTTTCAAGATGTCACACTTATTGTACTGTCTAAGATTAACAGAGATTCAATACTTCTGCAATTCTACAGACTTATAGTTCTTCTCTCAATGTTGAAAAAGGAACTGAAACATCTGATAATCTGTAGACTGATCTGAACAGCTATACAAGAGAAGATTATTCATCTTCAGTATTTTGAAGCTCTTTCTAGACAGATTGCCTCAGACTTAGTAGCAGTGATGATTCATAATATAGAGAAAGCCTGAGCTCATAGAAAAGTAATTTCTCTTTTTACTCTGAATATCAAGAGTGCTTTTGATGCTGTACTTAGAGAATGAATACTGTGAAGATTGCAAGAACAAGACTGATCATCAAATTTAATTAAATGAGTGAAAAGCTTCATGACAGAACACACAGACAGAATTAGATTGAATGAACTTCTGAAAGAGCTCTTTAATATCTCAGCAGAGCTTTCACAAGGCTCATCAGTCTCACTTATTCTATTCATGCTGTATATTCAGCCTCTGTTCTTTCTAGAAACTATACAAAGAAGATGTGCATACTCAGACTACACAGATGATCTAGAACTGCTTAGTGCTGAAATCACTCTTGAAGAGAATATTATTACTCTTCAAAAGAATTTCAAGATGCTAAATGATTGAATCAGCAAAGAAGAGCTAACATTTGATTTTGTCAAAACTGAGATAGCACACTTCACACAGTGCAGAATTCTTTTAAACCTCTCAATTGATCTTAAAACAATATTTGACACTCACTCTATTACAGTAAATGCAGTGAAAAGCTTCATAATATATCTAGAAATCTAGCTAGATAGAAAATTGAGCTTCAAGAAACATATAAAGACTATGACAGCTAAGATATGATAGATGTCTAATGATATACAAGCACTAAGCAATACAGCAAGAGGTGTCTCAGTACAACTGCTTAGACAATTCATTCAAATCTGTGTGCTTTTTGTGCTCTGCTATGAAGCAGAGACCTGATGATCTGAAGTCACATAAATGAAAAAGAGAAAGAAAATCTTCAATTGAATGAATTGTCTAGTCAGAAAGCTAGATCTAGTTCTTAGAGATACTTTGCAAAAGACACTATCAGTCTACAAGATTACACTCATTTCAGCTCTACACTATGAGCTAGAAATCATGTCAATGAAAGAGACACTAGACAACTGATGTGCTGTATTTGTAGTAAAAATCAAAAAGCTTGACAAGAGACACTCACTAGTGAGACACTCTAATAAAGTAGCTATCATCAAGTTCTATATCATACATCTGTCTAGAGTGTCTAGTCATGCTGATGAGATAGAAGCACATGATTCTCTACTCATATTCTTTTGAATGAGATTTCTCAGAAAAGAAGATCTGCAGATTGAGTATGAGATAGACTGCACAAAGAAACAGACAGCACAAGACTTTAAAAGCTGACTACAATAATACAATCTTCTGAATCTGATGATCTTTACTGATGATTCATAGATAGAGCACTCTCAGTGTGTGACTGATGCAGAATGAGCTATATGCTGAAATAGTAAACATCATCTAATCTTTATAGAAAATCTGTTAATGAATAAAGCAGAGATCTTTGACACAGAGACAATGACAGCTCTGCAGAGTCTAAAGAAAGTTATCATCTCTTTTCAGATGAAGTTTATCAGCAATGTCTACATTTGTCTAGACAATTTGAAGATAACATGAGTTCTTGAATCTGTGTCAAACATCTCTAGTCAGCAGATCTTCATGCAGTTTCTGAAAGTCATAAAGATCTGACAGAGCAGGAATAGACTCTTATTGATCACTCAGAGCAGGATAATCATTAGATGAATCTCAGGCCATGCAGGCATGACTGATAGTGAAAAGACAGATTTTGAAGTCAAAGCAGCTACAGTGCAGACAGCAAGTGCAAGTATGATATCTTAATCTGACAGCATAGACACTCTAGCTTATATAAAGTGACACACTATGAAACAAATCACATAGATCTTTGAGAACTATTGAATCAAAAATCAGCTCAAATGCTCTATGAAGCTGAAGATCTCACTAAAGAAAGTCTTAACAGAGGTAAAACTTTCACACTTTATATTAGAAAAGCTTTATGTCATCTGATCAGATCATAAAGACTTTGCAGTCTATCACAGTTATCTTGAGCATGAAGATGCAGAGTGCTACTGTCAGTGTGATCATAGCAAAATCTCTGAACATTTCTACTATTACACTCTTGCAAGAAAAGCAGCAAAGTGACACTGATCTATCTATAATCTTCATAAGACATTGATAATCTCACATGAGACTCTAGAATTCAATTACTGATTAAGAGAAACAGTCTTCTATCAGAATATCTGTCCAATGTGCTGTCATGCATCTTCAGATCAGATTTCACAGATCATCTTCTTCTCTGTCTTGCTTTCATTCTTCTCATCATCTTCTTCTTCTTTCTTTTTTTTCTTCTTTTTCTTTTCTTTCTTGTCTTTCTCTATATCTGTCTTCTCTATCTCTCTCTCACAAATCTAAAACCTCTCAAAACCTCTGCTCTATGACAACTGATCCATGGGCTCTGCCAGTGCAGCAATACACAACCCTTTTGCCTCATTTGTAAGATAGCTACTAGATAGATAGTCACTTACAGGTGTAGCTCTACCCACTCTATAGTTTGACATGGACTCTACTAGATCACGTGCCCATAAGGCACATGGACTAACCTGGCGTTAAATAAAAACACACACACACACACACACACATATTCTCAAGGAACGTCACGATCGTTATACAAAAACATCTTAATCAATCCTGATCACATCCCTATAAGCTCTCTCCCATCCCCTCAGGCAGCAAGCCTGATGGCGTGCCGACGCAGCGCCGCCAGCGCGCCCAGCCCCCCAACACCACCGAACGCGTCCCGAGCCTTGACGCGCATCTGCTCCCCCATACGCCGTCCACCCAAGAGACCCCATCTCCTCACCCCAATCGCCCGCCGCACATGTGAACTGAATGACATGGAGTCTCCAAGCTCCCCTACACCAGCAGGCAGCTCAAAGAGCAGAAATGTCGCACCAATTCACCTCAACCTACGTGGCCCGATGGCTAGCGATCTCCTAGCCGCCCACGAGGCTGAGGCACAGAAATCCCATGCAGAAGCACTAGCGGCTGCAAATATGCTTGATCGGATTGAAGAAGACCTAGATGTCATGAAGGCAAAGGGCCTATCAAGGGCACTGGCCCTTGGAGCCGCTGTGAAGGCGTTAGTCAAGGACTGGTACAATGGAAGTCTAGAAACAGCTAAGCAGTCCACCACAATCAAGCCTGCTGGCTCCACTGGTGCAAATGATGCAAGAGCTCCTACCTACGCAAAGACAGCTGCAGACAGCACCAATGTAACAAAAACACCAGCAACCATACTGCAGAAACCCCTGCTTAGGAATAACCCCAGAGAAGGAAAAACACCACGAATCCTCGCGCGCCTGCCTCCAGATCATCTAGCTCGCAAAGCAAGCCCAATTGCTACTCTTAGAAAGCTGAAGGCGGAACTCCCAGGGCCTTTGGCAGCAGCCATCACAGCAGTTCAAGCCATCCCCACAGGCATTGCCATCATTCCTAGAAGCTTGCAAGACATGGAGGCCCTGCTAGCCCAAAAGAATGTTTTAGCAGCCACCCTCACCAATACTCAGATAGAGAAGGAAGAACATTGGATCACCTGCCTGATTCCTGGGCTGCCCATGGAGATTAGTGACTATGGTGGTGGAACTCTGCGTCTCTCAGCAGAATCCATGACAGAAGAATTCACACTCCAAACCAGAATCAAGCCTGTCCAGAGTCGCTGGGCAAAAATACACCCTGGAAACCCAACAGCCACTCTTATATTACACTTTTCGCAAGAGACAGCAGTAAACCTGCCATCAAAAGTGGAACTATATGGATATCAAAGACCAGTGATCAGAAAGGCACCTAAGGTCAAAATACAACAATGCAGCAAATGCTGGGGATTTCATCAAGAGAGATACTGCCTCCGCGTCCCTCGCTGCAAAAAATGCAGTTCTAAGAATCATGTGAAAGGAAATCCATCCTGTCATAAGGAGAATGAAGCATGTGGATGCCCCAATCGCTGCACTAACTGTCTTGGACCACATGCCGCGGATGATCCATCCTGCCCTGCCAGACCAGGGATAAAGAATGGGACTGTTCAAAGGCACTCAAGAAACCAGCTGAGGGATATCCGCAATGCACAGAGTAAGGCATACTTGTCCAAGGCAAGTAACAGCAAATGCGGTGGTCGAGGGCCATCAGCAGACCTGAGGTTGAATGATTCTACTGAGCATAGATCTAACCTCACACCGACATCAAACACAGCACCAAGCACAGCATTGAGCACAGCATCAGGCACAGCATTAGGCATGGCGCCCAACCCAACATCTAATGCAACACCCAACACGTCATCTCACGCAACAACACCCTCCTTTCAGCTACTCAATGAAGAAGAACTCTAGATCTCCGCAATTCCTGCAGATTATGCAAGTCAACGTAGGAAAAGGGGGCCCAGCACACGAGACGGCCCTCAATCTAGCGTTTGAAAGAAAGACTGACATCCTTCTCATACAGGAACCCTGGATTCACAGGAACTTAAGCCAACGCATCTCCAAAAAGCATCCAGCATTCAACTGCTTTGCCCCAATTGAAAAGTGGGACAGGAAGCCACGGGTCCTCACCTATGTGCGTAAACACCCACAAATCCATGCTCATGCAGTCCCAGGCCCCTGGGCAGAAAACCGGGACATCCACATGCTGCACATACAGGCCTGGGGTCTACAGCTTCAGACAGTCAACATATACAATGCACCCCCAGGCGCAGAGGATCCTGGACAAGGTGTGGGCTGTCTTCTCTCCTGGTCTGTCCCAGCACTCCCGTTGCTCCTTGCTGGCGACCTCAATATCAAGCACCCCGTGTGGCAACCAGGAGTGCCTCCAAGCATGTGGGCGGAACCATTCCTGCAATGGACCATGAATTTCAACTTTACTCTCACCATGGACCCAGACACTCCCACACGTGGGCATAACATGATAGACCTGGCCTGGGCCACCCCGGAATTAGTTATCAAAGGAGTGGACACACAGGTGGACAGATCCCTTTACACTTCCTCTGACCACCAGACTCTTCTCACCAAAATCAGCCTTCCACAGGGCGCAAGGCCTGACAGGCCAACCCATTCTTTCCGTCTCGACACCATGAATGAGAAGGTCTTTAACCAGACGCTGGAGGCCTATAAGCCAAAACTAGACAAACTATGTGATTTCCCAGAGTACCCCAATACAGATCAGCTGGATGCCCTGGCTAAAGGTATCACAGATGCACTAATAGCTTCCCTGGAAAGTTCCACCAAGAAGAGCACCGGGCAAGGCACAGGTCAGCCATGGTGGAATGAGGACTGCCAGAAAGCAGTGACAACACTACATCGTGCACAGCACCTAGGTTCTAGTTTTTTACAAGAAGCAAAAAGCAACGTAGCCAGGACCACCAGGAAAGCCAAGAGAGAATACTGGCGAGGCAAGATAGCAGAGGCCTCAGTGGGGAAAGATATCTTTAAGATGATCAAATGGGCCCATTCAACTGGCTCCTTTCATTCCCCCCCTCTTGTAGATGAAGAGACTGGGCGAACGCGAACAACCCCTAGAGAGAAAAGAGACCTTCTGCAACGGGTGCTCTTACAGAAGGCTGCAAGCAGAGAGGATATCCCAATCAGCTGGTCCAACCCACCATCTGTCAAATTACCTTTTCCTGTTGCCTCAGCACATGAGATACAAAGTTCTCTGCTGAACACGGGTAATACCACTCCAGGAACTGATGGAGTGCCAACAGAGGTGCTACGAAAGGCATGGCCACATATTAAGGTATCAGTGGAAAGGCTGTTCAGAGCCTGCCTTAGGGTTGGCTGGCACCCAACCTCCTTTCGAGATGCCACACTGGTTGTGCTGCCTAAGGTCAACAGAGATCCAACACTCCCGCGATCCTACAGGCTTATAGCCCTTCTCTCAACGTTGGGGAAGGGACTGGAACGCCTGGTAGCCCGTAGGCTGGCCTGGACAGCTATACAAGAGAAGATTGTCCACCCCCAGCATTTTGGAGCCCTCCCTGGGCGGGCTGCCTCAGACCTAGTGGCAGCGATGGTTCATGATATAGAGGAAGCCTGGGCCCATGGAAAAGTAGTCTCTCTTCTTACTCTGGACATCAAGGGTGCTTTTGATGCTGTACTCAGAGGAAGGATGCTGCGGAGATTGCAAGAACAAGGCTGGCCACCAAATTTAATTAGATGGGTGGAAAGCTTCATGACAGGACGCACAGGCAGGATCAGATTGGATGGACTCCTGGGAGAGCTCTTTGATATCCCAGCAGGGCTTCCACAAGGCTCGCCAGTCTCACCTATTCTATTCATGCTGTTTATTCAGCCTCTGTTCTTTCTAGGAACTATACAAAGAAGACGTGCACGCTTAGGCTACGCAGATGATCTAGGACTGCTTAGTGCTGGAACCACTCTTGAAGGGAATGTTGTTACTCTCCAGGAGGATTTCAAGTTGCTAAATGATTGGGCCAGCAAAGAAGGGCTGACATTTGATTTTGCCAAAACTGAGATAGCACACTTCACACGGCGCAGAACCCTTTCAAACCCCTCAATTGACCTTGAAACAACATCTGGCACTCACTCTATTACAGCAAAGGCAGTGAAAAGCTCCATAAGATATCTAGGAATCTGGCTAGATAGAAAACTGAGCTTCAAGAAACACGTGGAGACCATGGCGGCTAAGGCACGACAGGTGTCTAATGGCATACGAGCACTAAGCAACACAGCAAGAGGCGCCCCAGTACAACTGCTTAGACAATCCATTCAGGCCTGTGTGCTCTCTGTGCTCTGCTATGGAGCAGAGGCCTGGTGGCCTGGAGCCACACGAATGGAGAAGGGAAAGGAAATCTCCAATCAAATGGATTGCCTAGTCAGAAAGCTAGATCTAGCCCTTAGAGATGCTTTGCGAGGGGCACTGCCAGTCTACAAGACCACACCCATTTCAGCTCTACACCGTGAGCTAGGAATCATGCCAATGAAAGAGACACTAGACAACCGGCGTGCTGTATTTGCAGTAAGAATCAAAAAGCTTGACAAGAGGCACCCACTAGTGAGACGCTCTAATAAAGTAGCTACCACCAAACCCTATACCACACGTCTGTCTAGAGCGTCCAGTCATGCTGGTGGGATAGAAGCATATGACCCTCTACTCACACCCCCTTGGATG